TTATTAAATTTGTTTAAAGATTTAGTTAATTATTATAATTATTACATTTTAATTCCGTATATCACACCAGCTAATTTTTTTTTAAATTCCAATTTAATTTAATAATTATATTTAATTTGACTATTTTATAAATTTTATATTGTACTTTATATAGTCGCTTGGAAACCCTTTTTTATATGCACTTTACATTCACCTACAATCGCTGAAAATACATTCTCTCTTTTCTCCTTTTATTTTTCATACATAAAACATGCTAGATACATGCCCCACCTTTCTGTTCCACCTGCTCCAACTATTGTCGAGCAACATATGCAAATAAATGGCTAAAAGCGTTTTTGCAATCGTTGACTTAACCTACGCCTCTTTTATTTTGCTTTATGTAGTACATTGTTCTTTGCGAACATACAACAAACCCAATTTCGTACTACCTGCACATGTTAGCTGAATGAATATACCTGGTAAAGCAATTGCAAAGAACTTTGTATGCTTGTCAAACAAACAGCTCGCAATTAAAGTTTACTTAAATGACGTAAACAATGTGTGAAGTTGATATAAATAGAGCAGTTGCTGAAGAGTTTCAATTAAAATAATGAAGCCAGGCCTATTTTAAGACTAAAATAACTTAAAATCGACAACAAAGGGAAACTAGAAACTGTTTAGCCAACAATCAGTAAAAATTCCAAAAACTTTTCGATCAACATAGCCAAGGAAAACTTTTTAGAACCCCTATGGAATTTTTATAAATATTTAAGACCAAATATAACCAAATTTGATGTCATTTAAATTTCCACTTACACGCATATTATACGGATGCAAATCACACGTCTCGTGGTGTCAGACGCAATCCTCCAAGGACATGAGCAAGGGGTTGACATACTCAAAGCCCTCGAATTCCGATTGATCGATGTTGCCAATGACATGGCTAATGGGAAGAGAACAATTCATTAGTGAAATGCAAAATTTGAGTGCTGATTAAATTATCAATGTCGAATTGGGTAGAAAGGAATACCAAAATGAAAAAATAAATAGAATGGAAAAAACTTACTCATCATCTGGAGTCAGCTGCACCGGTTCGCCCGTAAACTCGATCGGGAAATTGGCCAGATCACGATCAGAGTCTAGGCGTGGCTTGAATGGAGGCGAAACCTGTTTGCGTTCGAGCTGCATGAGGTTGAAATTGGCATGTGTTTGGTGGTGCGTATATTGCGAGAGAGAGAGAGAGAGTGTGTGTGTGTGTGTGCGCGCGCAGGATATATGCAAAGATAGTAAAAATAATATGATTATAGCTAAAGATAGTGCCAGCCAATATCGGCAAACGTAAAAATCAAATTCAATAAGGCTCAGGACACATTTCAAATGCATGTCCATGTGAGTTCTATGTGTGTGTGTGTGTGTGTGTATTGATGATGATCATGATGTTAAGTAGATAGAGCGAGCGGGGTAGGGGGGACGTGTGTTCTTTACTGATAATAGAGGGGACAGCGGGCGTATACACAATGTGGCTGAGAGCGAACATTACCTGCTGTTAGTCTGACCACTAATGCTATGAAATTATTATTTATTTTACAGTTTATAATTTTTTTTCGGGATATTGTCTCATGCTTTGTGGTACAATTAGAATAAAATAACCAAAACTAGAAAAGGCATTTTTTTTTTCGTATTTCTTTTCTTGACACAAAACTTACGGATCATCTGGCGTCAATTCAGCCGGTTCTCTGGTAAATTGAACGTCAAAGTTTGTTGTCATATAAGGATCGCCAGGATCCAGGCTTGGTATATAAGGCGGTTGTACCTCCTTTTGTGCAATCTTTTTATACACAAAATCATATATAGTAAACACTTAGTATTATAAATGACAGAAAATGTCTCAATATTGATAAATAGTATAACCACAACATTAATTAACATAGATTTGCAACTTTTTGTAAATTGAGATAGTTTATGAGGTTCTGCTGATTATAATTGAATTATCTTTCTATATTATAATTATTATAATTGATTTTCTGTTACTTGCGGAAATGCCAATTTAAAAAAAAAAATATTTATATATATTGTGTTTGCCTTTTTCTTATCTTTGTTTCGCTTGCTTATCTAAATCTATTCCTCTTTATAACAACTTCCTAACTCGCTCTTTCTCTTTTTCTCTCTTAACAGATAAATTTTGGGAATTTTTTATGGCAATTGATCCGAATTTGATATTTGTAGTAATTGTTTTTTTTATAATAATAATATTTTAGATAGCTCATTAAAGAGATAGAACCATTTGGCTTACAAGAAAAGAAAACTATATTCATTTTAAGTTTATTATATCTATAAAAAAAAAGGTTCATAAACAGAAAATTCCCTTGAAAACATGGTAAGCTCACATGGGATTAAAAGATTCTTCCGCTTCAACTAAACAAATATTTAAAATTCTTTCCAACACATCAATGGGAGATTTTAAAAAGGCTAAACAGTTTGAAGCACAACGAGTATCATCATTATTACCAACATTGACATCATCATAATAACACACA